AAACCAATCAGGCTGACATCAGACTTCTCTGAAGAAACATTACGGGCAAGGAGAGAGTGGAGGGACATAGTCAACAGACTCCAAGAAAACAGATGCCAACCAAGAATACTCTATCCCGCAAAGCTCTCTTTCCTCCATGAAGAAAGAATATGGACCTTCCCAGACAAAGAGAAACTCCGGAATTTCATTGCGACTAAACCCCCACTCCAAAAAATACTACAAGGAATCCTAAAGCCAGAACCTCAGAGGGACGAATAACAACGAAAGAAGACCAAAAAAAAAAAAGTTATTAAAAGAATAAATAAATAAAATCAAAGGAAAGACAAACATAATGGCAAATACAGATGCTAACATATCAATATTAACTCTAAATGTAAATGGACTAAACTCTTCAATAAAAAGACACAGAGTTGCAGCCTGGATTAAGAAACAAAACCCAACCTTTTGCTGTCTCCAGGAAACACATTTAGCTACAAAAGATAAAAATAGGCTCAAAGTCAAAGGATGGAAAACAATCCTACAAGCAAATGGGCCAAAAAAAAAAGCAGGAACAGCTATACTTATATCAGATAAAACAGACTTCAAACTCAAAAAAATAAAAAGAGACCCCAATGGTCACTACATTATGATCAAGGGGACAATACTTCAAGAAGAAATAACACTCATTAACATATACTCACCAAACGAAAGAGCACCAAAATATATCAGACAACTGTTGTCCTCTCTGAAAACAGACATCAGAGAAAACACATATGTAGTGGGAGACTTCAACACACCACTATCAACAATGGATAGATCAACAAGACAAAAAATAAGTAAAGAAACTAAAGCTCTAAATAAGGACCTAGAGCATTTGGGCTTAACAGACATCTATAGAACACTAAACCCAAAAAAAACGGAGTACACATTTTTCTCAAGCGCACACGGATCATTCTCCAGGATCGATCACATACTGGGGCACAAGACAAACATCAACAGATACACCAAGATTGAAATCATACCAACCATCTTTTCTGACCACGAAGGCATCAAACTAGAAATAAATCATAAAAGAAGGCAAGGAACTATCCTACCTCATGGAGATTAAAAGCCACATTACTGGAAGACCACTGGACTAACGAGGAGATCAAAGAAGAAATTAAAAAATTCTTTGAATTGAATGACAAGGAGGACACCAATATCCTAAATGTATGGGATGCAGCAAAAGCAGTAATAAGAGGAAAATATAGCAATAGAAGCTCACATCAAGAAACAAGAAAGAACTCAAAGAAACAACCTAATCTCGAAGCTCAAAGATCTAGAAAAAGAACAACAAAAAAACCCCAAAACCAGTAGAAGAAAAGAAATAATAAAAACCAAAGCAGAAATAAATGAAATTGAAACTAAAAAAACAATCCAAAAGATCAATGAAACCAAGAGCTGGTTCTTTGAAAAAATAAATAAAATAGACAAACCCCTAGCCAGGCTCACAAAGGAAAAAAGGGAGAAAGCACAAATACACAGGATCATAAATGAAAGAGGAGAAATCACAACGGACACAGCAGAAATCAAAAGAATAATCAGTAACTACTATGAACAGTTATATGGAAACAAGTTCAACAATCTAGAGGAGATGGACAAATTCCTACAACTCTACAATCACCCAAAGCTAGATAAAGAAGAAATAGAACACCTAAACAGACCAATTACAAGCAGCGAAATTGAAATGGTAATCAAAAACCTCCCAAAAACAAAGCCCAGGACCTGATGGATTTACAAATGAATTCTACCAAACATTCAGAGACGAATTAGTGCCTATCCTTCACAAACTCTTCCAAAAAATTGAGAAGGAAGGGACAATACCAAACACATTCTATGAAGCCAATATTACACTAATACCAAAACCGAATAAGGACAACACAAAAAAGGAAAACTATAGGCCAATCTCCCTAATGAACACTGATGCAAAAATCCTCAATAAAATTTTAGCTATCAGAATCCAACAATGTATCCATAAGATAATTCACCACGACCAAGTTGGATTCATTCCAGGGGCACAAGGATGGTTTAACATCCGAAAATCAATCAACGTTATCCAACACATCAACAAAAAGAAATATAAAAACCATATGATAATATCAATAGATGCTGAGAAAGCTTTCGACAAAGTGCAACACCCATTCATGATAAAAGCCCTTGAAATTCTTGGGATACAAGGAACATACCTCAACATCATAAAGGCCATCTATGACAAGCCAACAGCCAGTATCATTCTCAATGGTGAAAAGCTGAAAGCAATTCCATTAAGATCTGGAACAAGACAAGGATGTCCACTCTCACCACTGCTTTTCAATATAATACTGGAAGTCCTAGCCAGAGCAATAAGACAAGAGAAAGACATCCAAGGAATCCAAATAGGAAAAGAAGAAGTCAAACTATCACTATTTGCAGATGATATGATAATATACATAGAGAACCCCAAAATCTCCACAGAAAAACTAATTCAACTCATCAATCAATTCAGTAAAGTGGCAGGATACAAAATCAACACGCAAAAGTCAGTAGCCTTCCTATACACAAACAATAAATCTGAAGAAGAAGAAATCAAAAAAACCACCCCTTTTATTATCGAAACAAAAAAAATCAAATATTTGGGAATAAATCTAACAAAAGAGGTAAAGGACCTATACAAAGAAAACTATAAAACACTGTTAAAAGAAATAGAAGAAGACACAAAGAAATGGAAAGACATCCCCTGCTCATGGATTGGAAGAATAAACATTATTAAAATGGCCATCCTACCAAAAGCAATATACAGATTCAATGCTATTCCAATCAAAATCTCAATGGCATTCTTCAAAGAAATAGAACAATTATTGATGAAATTCATATGGAATCACCAAAAACCCCGAATAGCCAAAGCTCTACTGAAAAAAAAAGAAGGAAATGGAGGCATCACACTCCCAGACTTCAAACTATACTACAAAGCCATAATCATCAAAACTGCATAGTATTGGAACAAGAACAGACATACAGACCAATGGAATCGAATAGAAAATCCAGAAATAAACCCACAGATTTATGGTCAACTAATCTTTGACAAAGGAGCAAAGACTATGCATTGGAGCAAAGAAAGTTTGTTCAATAAATGGTGCTGGGAAAACTGGGTCGCTACATGCAAAAGAATGAAGCTTGACCACTACCTCACACCATACACAAAAATCAACTCAAAATGGATTAAAGAACTAGACATAAGACCTGAAACCATAAAATACATAGAAGGAAATATAGGCGAAACACTACGGGATTTGCACATCAAAGACATCTTTACAGACACATCACCCAAAGCAGTGATAGTGAAGAGAAAGATAAACAGCTGGGACTACATCAAATTAAAGAGCTTCTGCACAGCAAAAGAGACAATAACAAAAACAAAGAGAAACCCCACCAACTGGGAGAACATTTTTGCACCCAACACTAATGATAAAGGACTGATCACAAAAATCTGCAAAGAGCTGATGAGACTCAGCAACAACAAAGAAAATAATCCAGTCAAAAAATGGGCAGAAGAGCTAAAAAGAAACTTCTCTGAAGAGGAAATGCAAATGGCCAACAGACATATGAAAAAATGTTCAACATCACTTGCAATCAGGGAAATGCAAATCAAAACTACCATGAGATACCATCTCACACCAGTGAGAATGGCACATATTAAAAAAACTAGCAACAACAAATGTTGGCGAGGATGTGGAGAAAAAGGAACTCTTGTGCACTGTTGGTGGGAGTGCAAACTGGTCCAACCACTATGGAGAGCTGTGTGGAGATTTCTGGACCTACTAAACATAGAGCTTCCATATGATCCAGCAATTCCACTCCTAGGTATTTACCCAAAGGACACAGAAACATCAATTCCAAAGAGCACCTGCACTCCTATGTTTATAGCAGCACTGTTTACAATAGCTAAGCTTTGGAAACAGCCCAAATGCCCAAAAATAGATGACTGGATCAAGAAGATGTGGTACATATATACCATGGAATATTACTCAGCATTCAAAAAAGATAAACACATGCAATTTGCAGCAACATGGATGGCGCTGGAAGGGATCATGCTCAGCGAAATAAGCCAAAAAGAAAAAGAAAAATACCGGATGGTCTCACTCATAGCAGGAATCTAGAAAACTTAAATAAGGGACCAGGAAAATGAATATAAGAAAGTGAAAATCAAAATCAACAAAAAACTATGAACCAGAGACACTTTTTGGGGGTGGGGGGCGGGAGGGGAAGGATTGGGGTCAGAATGGGGCGTTTGCAATTGTATGGGGAAATATAAAAATAAAATTTAATATTTAAAAAAAAAATAAAAAAAAATAAAATGGGGAAATCCATAAAAGATAAAGAGCCACAATAAAATTTATAACAATAAGCCTGTAAAAAAAAAAAAAAAACAAACAAATAAATAAATAAATATGCTTAGGGCTCTTTCTGGCTTTAGTACACCTTCAACCATAAGTAACATAGATATTTACTAATTTGTTGGTTCATTCACTCACTCATGCATTCATTGAAACAAATATTTGCTAGATGTCTATTCTAATTAAGATTATGTTCTAGCTACCTGAGGGTAGTAGTTACCAACTTAACTGGACATCAGAACCATCTCATATTCTTTTTTTAAAGTTTTAATTTCTGTGGCACATCTAAGTTTTAATGAAGACAGGGAAAATATGTGTGTAGATATTTTAAAAAACTAGATATAATTTTCATGTAGTAAACTGTAGAAATCTTATTTATTACAGTTTTTGGTGGGTTTTTACATATGTATATACCCAATCAACTACTACCCAGATCAAGATAGAGAAAAACATAATTGTGCATTGTGTGCATAGCTTTTTTGGAATTTTTTTAAAAAGGAATTTCAAATGCATTGGAGGTTTTGCGACTCAGATAAAAATAAATTAGTATTCTGAACAACCAAAAAAAAAAAAAAAAGATTAAAAAAAAAAAAAAAAAAAAGAGTTCTGATCCCAAAAGGCATACTTTCCTCTTGGCCACTGTGTTTCTGACTCTTGACTCCAGGGTTGGGAATAACCCATGAAAAGCTCTCCTTACAGTGCGTATATTTACTGCATATGGCAATAAATAATCACTATGTTGATGATGATGATGAAAGAGGTGATGATGATGGTTATTCGGGGCCTTGATTAAACAAACAAATAAGACCTGATAGATCTTAGAACCTGGTACAAAAGACATACATTGAATACAAATAACAAGTTATAAATATAAAGGGATGGGACAGATTGCTCTCAGTCATATTGACTGGTAAGGCTTAGACAACATTTCTGCAGTGGTGTTTTACTTCTTGAACTGGTAGAACACAATAAGGATGGGGACTTCAGCAATGTCACAGAGCAGTTATTGAAGATGCATAAAATATTCACCCAAATAGGTATGCAACTCTACACAGCTTTGCTCTAATAAAGCTCGTCACCTGAGAGACTCAATTACATCTGCAGTGGACGCTTCACAAAGAGCATTTAAAAGGCAGCTTCGCCCTTGACTCTTGATTCTGCATGTCAGAAGCACTTAACTCACAAACCTCTGGATTACCACTACATCAGGGCATCTATCTGCTCCTGGGCCAGACCACCCCCTGCCTGATGCTTTGACACTGAAGGCACTTGCATTATCATTATGTTATCACTGAATCAATTGCAGCTTAGAAAGAGGAGCAGGGGACCCTGATAGTTCCAAGTCTCTCTGCTCAGGGAATCACTGCCAAGTGCATCCTCCCACAAAACCTGCAATCTATATTCCATTTTATGACCTGGGATTCAGCTTAATAGATTCATTGTGATTCTGAACTTCTTTGAAGATGCTGGAGGACAGTGTCTTCTTACACTCATTAAGGTGAGGTTCTATCATTGGTGCATAAAACGTATCTGAATATTGTCAGAATTACACTCAAAATTGTGGGATTTCCTTTGGAGCTGACTTAAAAGGACAAAGAGAGCCAGTTGTTGTGCCAGCACTAGCTTGGCTCCATTTCTTTGGTGGAACCACCATGCAAAGCAACTGCTTGGGTTTATAGATCAGCTTATTTTAGAACACACACCTTTAAACATTTCCCATTACAAGATGCTCCAACCCAGGCTTCAAAAACAAAAGATGAGACTCTTCTGCCAGTCATCTGCTTAATGAGAATGGAAATAAGCATCCTCCATATGTGAATCCTCACCTGCCTCACTTCAACTTGAACTTGAGGGGGTTCATTGTGTATGGGTGGCACATAGTGAACTGCTGCTTAGGACAGTGACATCTTTCTTTTCACCCTCTCCATGGCCAAAGAACTAGCAGAGGTCTGGCGCACAGTAGGCTCCTATTCAACCTCAGTAGATGTTCCTCTCGTGACTGACCTACCAAGGAACAGAATGCAAGGCACATCCATGTAGGGGTGAAAGCAGCTGAGAACCAGAGTTTGGTTTGGTTGGACCTGATACAGACCTTTCTATGACTGCAATTTTGCATAATAACAAGTCTACTATTAAGTAGGGGTGATTCATTATGTACTGGAAAAGATATAGCAGAAATCTATGCTACCAGGCTGAGGTCGATCTAACCTACAACCAACAGACAATGCCATTTTTATGAGATTGTCATTGGCCAAAAAAGAATTAGAGAGGTAAGTTTTGTGTGTGGCTTTTCATAGAACCACGTGTCCAAATTTCTAAACCATCTTTACACACTAAAAGACAACACTGGCAAGCCAATGACAGTTAATAAGAAAAAGCAAATTTTGGACAGAATCAATCTTAAATGGAAACAAACTGTAATACTTCCTTTTTATATAGAATTTGCTTGAATGCCACATTTTCATCCATTTTAATATAATTAGCATTTTTATCTATACCCAACAGTAACCTCAAAAGACAAGTGTGACATAACCCAACAGCAATTGCTATCAAAAGTATAGATCTTACTTTATTTTTACCTTCACCTGACACACTTTGGCTGTGTATTGACCACTTAGGAACATTCTTCTGGCCGTAAATCCAATCAATAATTTACTCGTGCAGAACACATAACTGTACATTTTCTGCTCATAGAAACCCGTTGATAATGAGTGCCGATTATAGAGCAGAGAAACAAAGGTGTTCATGCACCCAGCATTACTTCTCAGAGGACTAACCTGAAAATGATCCTTGCCTTGCCTACAAATGAAATATTTTAAATAATGTTTTGATGCCCCAAGTTACCTGACATATTTGTCGATTTTCACAGACGCCGGGAGTGATTAGATTTGGGGGTCAGTTACTTTAAGGTCATCGGGAGACCACACATTTTAATTTCAAATAGAGATGACAAACCTGATAAGCAAAACTTTATAAAATAAAAGGATATGAAATCAACTTACACTACTAGTTGGTATGGGGAAAACTTCTGTATTAAGACCTGTCATCTAAAGGTAGGGAACCTGGTGTTACAAGAGATAATTTTCCTGACAAATAACCTTGATAAGTTAAGGCATCTAAAAAAGATACTGCTATAAATTATCTCAAACCAGGCAGAGCATTTATTTTCAGTGGGGGTGTTAGAGGGGAAGCAGACTTTGGGATCAGGGCTCAAGACATTGATTGCTAAAGGATATGTTCTTAGGGGTTCACAATAGTTCTAGAAAGATCATTACAATATTGTGTGAGATGACAAGACTAGCAGGTGGTGGTCGCAACCACAAAGGGTTAACCTGTAAAGACAAGGAGAGGCCTGGAAGTGTTTTAAAACTCAATTAAAATAAAACCAGTTCCTGTTAGTTTTAGAAATCCAGATTTAAGACTCATTCTGTATTATCTATTCATATGAAAAGGGTACAGCAATTGAATTTTGAATTATGCTAACCCATTTTCTCAGCTATAGAAAATGCTGGCTTCCAGCCCAACGAATACAACAGCCACATGCTCAAGACCCTTAATTATCTAATTAATGCAGTGTCATTTTAGCAATTAGTTCAAATGACCATATGTAACTTTTTCCTTTATAAGACCAGAATTGTAAATATTTTTTAAATACTTGTTATATCATGCCAAATCCTGTACATTAAGGAAATACAACATCAATTAAAACCAGAAAATGACTGGGAAAGATTTCATATAATAATAACTGTAAGTTCACAGGTGTCCCTTAGGTACAGCTAAACCAGACTTACAATGAAGAATTTCCTCCTGGGTGGGTAGATATTGCCAAAGGAAATGACAAGGCATGTTTTGGGTGGTGTTAAAAGAACACATCAATCTAATGAAAACCCTACTAAGTGACAATATCACATGAATGATAACTAGGAAAACCCTTCACAGAAGTTTGTTCTTCCTCCCTGTTTTCTCTCCACTGCTACCATGGGGTTGAATGTTCACTTTAAATTCCTCATACACTCTGTGAACCAGAGAGTCTAGTTATGTCAGAACTTTTTGATTGTGCAGTTAATGTTGTAGAAAAATGTACATATGCTAAAAAGAAATGATTTCTGTGCCATCTGTTTGGTTCTTCCATTTGACAGCCTGTCTCTGAGAGCACCTTTGGACACTGGTCAGAATTCCTTTTTCAGGCGGGCCTAACCGGTTCCTAGGAGGTGTAATTTATTTGGGATCACAGAGGCAATCGATGTTTAATTAATGCTCAGTATTGACTGAAACCCTCTGCTGGTGAAGGGAACAACAAACATGGCCATTGTTTTCAAAGCATGTGAAATCTGGTGGAGAAAGCAATGTGGAGTTTTTGGGTGTCCTAAACTCTGTGCATCATTGACCACTCCCCACATCCTGGCATCTCAGCACGTAGAACTAAAGACGGTGATTTGGAGTGAAATGGTCATGTTTCCCTAAGGCCTGAGTGAGTCTTCAAGGCAGCCTAATTTCAAATATTTTGAACATTACTATGTTTCAGGAATCACTGTAAGGAATTTTAAAATGTTCCCTTACTTCATTACTCACAACTGCCTTGCAAGGTAGATAGTATTTGTCTTCTAAGGAGGTGGAAACGCAAATATTTCTCAGCCTGTTTCTACACCAGTAATGGGATGCACAGGGAGTGTCTCTCAGAGACCACAACTCTCTGATTCCACATCTCAAAGATCAGGATTGTTAGTCTGGCTTATGCTTCTAACTAGAAACACCTTCATGTTCTCACTGTACATGTCTGCCCCTCTCCAGAGGCCCTTCTCCCTCACCAGTCTCAAATGGTGAAGCTTCCTACCCCAAGTTTACATCCCTTTGGGAATAAATACCTGCACTGCCTTGGCAATGCCACACTCTCCCTTATTGTATGGCCATGTGAACTCTGTTCACCCTTCAATTGAGTTGAAAGATATTGTCTTTGAGCATGCCCTGCCTTTGCACTCCTTGCTCCATGTCCCCCAGCCTAAAACATATTTTTGTGACACTCCACTGTAATTTATTTAAGTACTATCTCTTTGACTAAGCTATGAGTTTCTTACCAACAAAGCAAAACCTGCCTTTTTTATCCCTAGTGCTTAATAAAGTAACATCTATAGAGCAGGAGCTTCATAATTATTGCTGAATCGTTACATGGATTTTTAACTGCTCTGAAAAATAGAAACAGAAAGAAAAATAGGATTGAGAATATGGAGTTGCTGACAATATTTAAAAAAAAGCAAGAAAGAAGGATGGAAAAAGGAGGGAGGGAGAAAAGAAAGAATAGGGGAGGGAGAAAAGGAGGAAGAAACCAAAACTTAGAAAAGGACAAAGAAAAAAATGCAGATGAGGTCTGACGTAACCTTACCACAGTGTCTTGTTTTGTAGTGGAGGCTTCAGAAAAGCAAGACACGTCATAAGTAATATTAACAATCAGCAAAGCTATAACAGCATTATAAATGATACTTATTTATGGGGAAGTACCTTCACCATGAAACCTGCTCACCAACAAGCCTTTTGCAGCATGTAACACATGTTCCAGGTGTCAGAGATGCAATTCTGGAAGCCACACCGACTACAAGGCTTTCAGAAAACCACAAAGTTGCATTCATTTTCATTTATTTATAATGTTGATGTATCATATTGATCTTTTCCCAAATTACCCATAGCTGGAAATGAATTTCTTTCACACAGTTCTTAACAGCTACCTACCTACTTACTTATCATCTATCCATCTTACTGATATATTTAGATTGGGTGTATATATAGACAATATCATTGAATGGCGAGAGACTAATCCAGTGGCATGAGACTTATTTTTATATTTAATTGTGAAAAGGCAGAAAAGCATCAGTAACAGCTCAACTGTCTTACGTTAAGGTCAAACAGGATCTAAGTATTTTCTGAAACAGGTGGTCAAAGGATGCATATCCAGCTATATGATAAAGTGTCTCCAAGAACAAAGGCTGTATTTTTATTCCTTTGAAATCTGGACCCATGTGACGAATGTTCTTGTGAAAATATTAATTAGCAAGTCTTGGTGGTTTGGGAGAACTGTGGCCATGAGGGTACAGATGATAGCTAGAAAAAAACATATTTGAATACATTCTGTCAAAGTAAAATCCTCAAACGGAATTACCAATGGCACAAGCCCAAACAAGGTCGCCTGTGCATGTGCTAAATTGAAAGTCATACCAGTGACATTCCCTAGCAACAACCTTTGCGATGCGGCCGTGTCCCCAAGACTGCAGTCAAAGAGAGAGCCGGAGGCCAGCATTCCAGAGCACTGAATTATCCAAAATGGTTTGGTGGAGATGCAGAAGATGAACATGGGTACAGCTAATTCTGTTTACATGATTTAGTAGTGGAAGTCCAGAAAGGTTAAGTAAACTGCCTAAGGTCAGAAAGCTGGGAAGTGGAAGGATTTGAAATTGAACTATAGCTGGTCTGGCTCCAAAATGGGGTATCACAGATGGTGCTGTATGAACGACCTTGGTGAATTTGGGCTTGGGTGAAAAGTGAGTCAGCCAAATGATGCACCAGCAATCATGGAGCCTTTACTCATGGTGACAGGGCTGCAATGCAGGGAACAAATGCTGGAGGCTAAGATCTGAATAAAGTTTTAAAATCTGAACAACCTAATGAAACACTTAACTTTCATTTTACAAAAATAAAATTTATATTTTAAATATATATTTAATTGTATATACATTCATGTACATATACACATATAAATTTGTATGATTTAAATGTATATAATAAATAAAATATATCAGAAATATATCTCTAACATTGGCGATATCACTATCTATAAATCCAGTAAATCTGAAGGACTTTTCCATCCTTCCACCTCCTTGCAAGGAGTTAAATTCCCTAACTGAAGTTGGGTTTGGCCATGTAACTGGCTTTGGCCAAGGAAACGTGAATGAAAGTGATGGTCTGTGTGAAATCTGAGTCTAGCCTTATGAGGCATTTGGAACTAGTAATTTCCACCCTGGGAAGAAAGTACCCTAACTTCCCACTTCACCTGAGCTCTGGGCATGAGATTGGAGCAGGAAGGCCATGGTAGACAACCTCTAGACTAATTCCTAGAGGGTGGTTTGTTATGCAATGAAAGCACAGCAGGAAAAGGGGGTGGGAAGAACAATGGTCGAGTCACATATATGTGAACAGACAGTGGTGTGTGCAAAGGGTAGTTTAGAAGGGCGAACACTGGACGTATTCGTGCCCAGGATGCCCAGGCCAACATTTTTATGTGATCCCTGTTTTAAAGGCTGTGCAGTTTAACCATATGCATGGTTAAAGGGGTTAAAATGGGAAGACATCTGCCTCACAGAGAATAAAGGATACTGGTGCTTTTTCAAGCTCAGTGTCTCCCAGCAAAGAAAATGCACAAAAAGGATAAATAGAAATCATGTCACAGCTCTAATCTGAACTGATAGCTAAGTCTTCGGGGAGAACTTCAATTGTTGGGTATAAACTTTAGACAAAAGAAAGAAAAGCAACCACTTTGTGAGTTCTGGAAAATCATGGAAGCATTATTTGCTGTAGAAGAGTTAGTGAAAGAGAGAGGAGCTGGTATGGGGAGGCCATTTAAAAAATTCCTCAAGATTATGGCGATTACTTCTTCCCTTTCAAATGCAGAGTATATTGAAGTTTCTTTTAAAAATTCATACAGGAGACTCATTCTATGCAACTGTAAGAGGGAAACTGTCAGACAACATTCCCAATTCAATATTATATTGTGCTTCAAGAAAAGATTTCCATATATTCTAGATTAAAAAAAGGCTCATAAATAAATGATAATCCAGTGCATGCTCTGAAAAATGAAAAAATAATTTTGTGTTTGCATTTTACTCCACAGAGTAAAATTTAATCTCTCTTTTAATATAGCATGTTTTATATAAAAAGGTAAAAACATGTAACCTTATGAAAATTGATTTTTCACATGCTTAAAAATGTCCCTCGAAGTATTTATCTAGGCATTTTCCATCCGTGACTATAGAAAGCTATCACAAATTGACAACTTCACCATGTAGGGTTAAAAGTAAATGGAGTTCTTGGGATTTGATGTAATGAAATTTTCCTTCAGAGTGTTAAGAGTAAGCAAGTGCAGACAGTGACTTTAGCGGTGTTGTTCATTATTCAGGTTATGCTTTCAAAACTACATAGTAATGTCAGGCACATGATAGGTGCTTACTAAGTATTTGCCAAATGCTTAACTTAGGGGAAGCAATGGAAACATTCAAAAGCCCAGTGCAAAGCAAAGCTGATGTTAAGAATCTGACCATCTGTGTTTTCTTAGATTGATGCGGAAATCATCTTGATTTTCTGAGCATCTCTCAGTAGCTGAATAGTCTTATTGAGATAGAAGCTTGACAACACACACTCAAAACACTGTGGACACAAGCCTATCACAGTCCTTGGTCCCCAAGACAAATATTTCCTGAACACTCAGCATGATCAGTATTTGAGTAAAAGCCAATCTTCAAGAGTCTAGTAACTCCTTGAAAAAACTGAACAGAAAATGGAAAACAATACAGTTTTGTTATCTATCTGCCTCTCACTGGTAAGGGTGGGACTAACCTAAAGAGGATTTCTCCACCCTGAACTTAAATGAACTTAAATTAACATGTGCAAACCTATGCAAATCTTCCTGCTTTGGCTGGAAGCTTTAAAGGGCAGCTTCTGGAGGCAGCTTTTCTGGCTGGCCTTGAGACTCCTGGGATACTCCCAGGGATGAAACAATCAAAGACAGCTGGAGATGGGACTCTTGCACATTAACTGGCAGCACACAAAAGAGACATATCTCAAGTTGAGGAGCAGGCTCTTGGGAGGCCCTGCCTACAGCCAGAACCTTTAATTCCCACCTTTGAGTATGGGTTGGACCTGTGACAAATTTCTACCCCATAGAATACAGCATAGGTAGTGGGATGACCCCGTGATCACATTGTATTATTTAAAGCTCTACCTTGATGACAGATTTGCTCTAGAGATTCTCCTTGCCATGCGGGTGAAGTAAACTGCCATACTGGGAAAGCCCATGTGGGAGGAACTGTGGATGGTTTGTAGGAACTGAGGGAGGTCTCTAGGAGCTGAGTGTGCCAACAGCCAACAGTCACCAAGAAGCCAAGGCCCTGAGTCATGGAGCTGCAAGAAAATCAAATCTTCTAGAAATCAGTCTATGTGACCTTAGAGATGTGGAGGTGACTGAAAAAGAATTCCTTCCCAGTAGAGCCTCCAGATAAGTATACCATTCCTGACACCTTAATTGCAACCTTGTGAATCTCTAAGCAGAATCTTTAAGCCACAACCAGACTCTCAAAGAAACAAAAAGAATAGATGTGTTACATTAAGTTGTAAACTTTGGGTGGTTTGATGTAGTACAACTGGTAAATGATGTTCAAGTCCTGTAGCGGAGAGTGCACTAGTGGATCAAGAAGAAGCAGATGGTGTCAGAAAGACAAGAAGCAGACGGGCCTGAAAAAAGCCCTGGGTTTGGAGTGCACTGCTGTTTCCTCACTACACAGGTAGATGGTCAACCACAGAAAGAAGCATAAGAAAATGTACTGAAATTATCAAAAAATGAGTGGGGTCAAGAGTATATTGGTAAAAGGAATAACAGGCCGAGGATGGTGGGCTTGGCCATGTAGGCAACAGCGAGTGGCATGGTCAACATTATGGTTTCAGAAGATGCATGATGTGATAGGATAACTTTGAGTAAGGGAAATTAGAGTCACATGGGCAATATCACTATTTCTTCATCAGGCATGATCTCATAGTGGCCATGGCTACGAAGAAGAAAAAGCAAAAATCACCTTGGCATCTGATACCTAATTCAATTGCAAAATATCAGAGCAACTTTTAAGTGAATGTAATGCAATGTGCACACATGACAAAAGAGTTCACATAGGTAATCTATGTATGTCTTAAATAATGGTACACAGAATGACTACCCACATACCTATCGCTCAACTCCAGATATAGAATCTTCTCATACTTCTCCCCCATGCCTTTCCCCATCACTAACATTTTCATCCAGTTTCATATACAGTAAATAGAACTGTCTATTCTTCCATGTTAACTGGAGAATTTTTAATTCCACGTTGTTTTTTGAGATCCCTCTATGTTGATGCAGGTTACAGCAATTCATTCATTTTCACTGCTATCTACTATTCCATTATATTATGTCACTATTTACTTTCCCATTTCATTATGGATGGCCTTTGGGGAGTTTTCAGTTTCTTGTCATCACAAATAATGTGCCAGAACTTTCCCTAGTTCTAAAGAGTTCCTTGATCTCACAGCATGTTCACAGGAGATAAATTACATGGGTAATGTATTACTTTGTGAGGTGATAACAGTATTTTCCAAAATGGCTGTGTTCATTCACAGTCTGATCAGTGATATATGAAATCTCCTGTTATTCCATATCCTTGCCAAAACTGATATTGCTAGACTATTTAAATTTCCAATCTGGGTCATCCCTGGTGGCTTAAGGGCTAAGTCTCAGCGCTACCACAGCTACAGTCTGAGTTTGATCCCAGGCCAGGGAGTTAACCCACATATGGTGCAGCAGACCTCTCCTGTCTTGCCCGCTGCTCCCCTCAGCAGTGTATTTCAGTACATCTGCCTGTTATGCTCCCCACTCTTTCTCAGGTGAATCCCCTCATGCCCCCAACAACTATGGCCTACACCCCAGTTTTCTATGCATAAATAAATCTTTAAAAAATAAATAAAATGCATTTCCTATCTGGTCAGCACAATACAATTTCTCATTTTTTTACTGCAACATCTCACACGTAATTGTGCATGTTCTCATCTGATCCTCTTAGTAGGACATACAGAATCATAAGACAGGTACCACCCTTTCAATCTATATATCAAGTTGAAAAAAGAAGACATAAACCACTGGAAAGTTGCTAGTGAAGTTAAAGCATAATGCATCCAATGAATACATATACTTCAGTGCTCCAAGTTCGCACGATTAACCATGGTTCCCAAGTCAACTGGTAGTATGACCTTGAGCAAGTCACTTTCTTTTTAAAGTTATAACTGGCACATGAAAATATATAAAATAC